GCAGATGACACAACCCTGCTTACTGAAACTGAGGAGGACCTCATGCACTTGCTGCAGAAGGTCAAGGACTGCAGCCTTCAGTATGGATTGAGTCTTAATGTCAAGAAGACAAAGATTCTCACCACTGGACCAATTGGCAGCATCAGGATGGATGGTGAAGAGACTGAGATTGTTAACAACATTAGTTTGCTTGGCTCCACAGTCAGCACTCTTGGCACCAGCAGCCAGGAAATAAAAAAAATGTATTGTGATGGGAAAGTCTGCTGTTAGGGACCTCTCCAGGGTACTGAAAAGCAATGGTGTCACTCTGGAGATTAAGGTACGTCTGATACAGGCTATGTCTTTGCAGTCACTTGTTATGCATCAGAGAGTTGGACAATGACTAGGGAGCACAGAAGGAGAATTGATGCCTTTGAGCTGTGGTGCTGGATAAGAGTATTGAATATACCATGGACTGCCAAGAACACAAATAGATTCATCCTGGAGAAGGTTAAAACCAGGCTGATCCTTGCAGGCAAGCATTCTGGGGCTTTGTCTGACATACTTTGGATATGTTGTAAGGGGAAACAGGTCCTTGGGGAGAGGGACATCAAGCTTGGGAGGGTGGAGGGACGACGTAGGAGGGGAAGACCCTCTATGAGGTGGATTGATTCAGTGACTAGGGTAATCGGGATGGGTGTGTCAGAGGCAGTGTGATTGGCACAGGATAGAGCAGGGTTTAGGGCTGTTGTACATTGGGTCGCTATGAGTCGCAAGCAACTCGACAGCACATAATAACAACAACTACAACAACGTCTCCCCCATCCTCCCAAGGACTGGCCTGTCTTGATAGCATACCCAAAGAATGTGAGATGAGGGGTCACCATCCTTGCTCCTACAGAGCACTCGGGTTGCCCTTTGTCCAAGACAGATTTATTTGTTCTTTTATTTATTTTCTTTTATTTGTTGGTTCATGATCCTGCCAATCAATATTCTTCACTAACACCCAGAGGAAAGCAGGAGTTTGAGCACATAGCTGGGTGGTTGAATCAGCAGCGAAAGGATTCTAAGTCAGAGAATTGAATCTGAGTGGTTCACTGAAGCAGAAAGAAGACAAATTATGGAATTAAATGAGGGAGACAGTGGATTTGCCTAGTAAGTTGAGGTAGGGGTCTAAGGCAGTCAGAGTTAATATCACGACTGTGGGCCATTCAAGATGCTGGTGGACGTTACAGGCTCAAAAGATAATTCAGAGGGAGGAAAATTTTCAAGACACTTGTCTTCTTCTCTTGTGTTACAAATTTTTTTTTCTTAAGCTGATTTTTGCCTGTTCTTATGTAACCCAAAATATCTTGGTCTCCATGGCCTGTGATGCAAATGAAACACATTAACATTTAATGCTCAGTATATAATGACTTTTTATTTTCCTTCTTCTCCTGTAGAAATTTCTTGCCTCAAAATTTTCCTGAAGTCATTTTGGGATTGGCTTAATTTTTCTCAGCTCTTCCTGGTCAAAGCTTTCCCTTGTTGCCCTTTAAGGGAGTCTTGATCTTTGGGGACATCTGTCCTCTAGGGCAACTGAGATGCCCTGTTGATGTGTTAAAGGTGCAAACACAAGCAGTCTTCGGCCAGCCCCACGTGGGGTTTTGTCCACTAGGCCTTGATTATGCCTAGATCCTTTTCAGACCTTTCATGACACAACTTCATCAACATCTGGCCTCGACCCCACTTTTAGAATTGTTTTTCTGTTTGTTTGAACAAACAAAAAGGTAGATATTATGGAGCAGGGTTGGCATCATCGTGTCCCCTTGGTTGATTGACTAATTTATTTATTCAGTGATTCAACAGTTATACTGAGCACTGACTATATAGCTTTCCTGGATTTTTGCCTACACACAGTCAGAAATCCCCAACCCCTTTCTTTCAGAATAAGCTTCAACGAATAATGATTTCCTCACAATAGTTCAATGAGCTCAGTCAGTTTTACTTAAGATACCTGTCCGTTAGCTTCTCTGTGGGAGAAGGAAGGACAACCTCCTCCCATGTGATTTAATACCTCCCCAAATCTGCTAGAGGCCAGCTATGTCTCAGTTCTGTCTCAATGGCACATACCAACAATGACAACCTATCTAGGCTTAACTTTAAAGAATGCTATTTTTGTTCTTTTGTGCCATTGAGTAATCTGCAACTCATAGTGACCCTAGGTATAACAGCTCTGAACTCTGCCTTATCCTGAGACAGTCTCACTGACTCCAAAACACCTAAACCTATTGCCCCGGTTATCATGACTATCCATCTCATCTGAGGATCTGAGGTCTTCCTCTCCTGGGTTGTACCTTCCCCCCCTACACCCCCCACTCCTGCCTTTCAAGCATGATGTACTTCTCCAAGGACTAGTCTTTGCTGGCCATGTGCCCAAAGTCTGTGAGATGGAGCTTTACAATCCAAGGAGAAACTTTGTTTCATTCTCTCCGAGAAAGGACCCATATGTTCTCTTGGTAGTCCACAGTATGTTCAGTACTTCTTCTCCAGCACCACAATCCCATCATCCTGTCATCCTTAGTCATTGTCCAGCCCCCTGATGCATAGCATGTAATTGCATAGACAATGGCCTGTTTCCTGTTTGAAAAACAGGAAATTTTAAATACAAATTTTATAAATTGAAGACAGGAATAACTTAGAATTTGTTTACTGAAGTTCTTTCTAGAGTCACTTTTAGGGGCATGCACCTCTGTCTATAAAGAGATCTGATACCTCAGTTATTAGTATTCTGGGACCCCCATTCTTCTCTATGTCAGCCATAAGTTGTTATGATCCACACAGTCAAATACCTTTGTATAGTCAATAAAACAGAAATAGGTATTCTTTTTGTATTCTTTCACTTTCAGCCAGGATCCATCTGACATCAACAATGATATCCCTGGTGCCATGGCCTCTTCTAAATGCTGTTTTAACTTCTGGAAGTTCCCTGTGTATATAATTCTGTAGGCAGTTCTTGTTTTATGTTTTAGTAGTTTATTTACAAGATTAAAATACGTTGTTTTCCAGAACAGATTATTCTCATTTCCCTCACTCCCCCATCAAATTGCACATTAATCCACCCTGCACATCCTCATCCCTCTGCTGCTGCTCCCCCCCACCAAACGGATTCTTGTACTCATTCTACAATAACGGTTTTATACAATATTTGTCCTTATGGGACTTAGTTCACTCAGTATAAGGCTCTCCAGTCCCTCCCAAGTTAGGTAATAATTTACAAAATCATTGCTCCTGTGTGCTAAATATTATTCTACTGTGTGAACATACCAAGTTCTCAATCCATTCATCTGTGTTTTTACATCTGGACAGTTCCCATGTTCTTTTGATGGTGAACGATGCTGCTCTGAACATTGGTGAACAAATCTCCATTTGTGCCTCAGTTCTCATTTCCTCAGAGTATATTCCAAGTAATGGACCCAGAAATAGACCCAGCTATCTATGGCTAACTGATATTGTAGCCAGTTTTGAATGATCTTCAGCAGTATTTTGCTTGCACGTCATGTTAATGATATTGTTTGATAGTTTCCACATTCTGTTGGTTCACCTTTCTTGGAAATGGGAACAAATAAGGACCTCTTCCAGTCAGTTGGCTAGACAGCTGTCCTACAAATGATCTAGCATAGAGTGCTAGAAGTGAGCAGTGAGTCCATCCAGGGCTGCATCTGTTAGTTGTAACATGTCAGTTGGTATCCCAGCGATTCCTGGGGCCTTATGTTTTGGCTAATGCCTTCAGTACAGCTTCACTTTCTGCCTTCGCTACCATTGGCTCTTGTTCATATGTATTTCCTTAAATATTCAGTGTCAGTCAGTTCTCCTTGATATTTTATGTATTCTCTCCATCTTCTTTTGATGCTTCCTGGATCATTAAACATTTCACCCATAGCAACCTTCATTATTGTGACTCCAGGCTTAAATCTGTTTTTAATGCGTTTGTTTGTTATGCTGTAGTAATATTTAAATCCCAGTAGACTTCTTTCTTGGTCCCTCCCATGTCTTTTTGCGAGTCAGCTGGCTGCCTTGCTCCACCTGCACTTCCATCTGAGACCCAGCTTTTGTTGCTGGTCACCATGGCAGAGGGGAAAAGAATGCACAATATAAGCTTTGGTTCTCAGAACTTTTGCCCAGAAGCAGAAAAAAAAAACCCACCCAAAACCTGCTCATGTTTCATCAGTCAAAGCAAGTAAAATGGACACAAACAACTTCAAAAGAAGATAAAGTACCAGGTGCTTGGGAAACCAGAATACCTGTGAATCCCAGCACCATTGCCTCATACAACCAGCCTCCCTTCTTGAACATTGTGATACATGGTTTGAGGGCACCTCCTTTTTTATTAACAATCAAATTGACATAGTCCAGCTCTCATCCCTGGACTTCTGGAGGGTCTTTGAAAATGTTAGATTCTTATGCTTACTGGTACATTTGGCTGTAATCTCTGAAGCATTTACATCTACATTTATAAACATTTTCTATCTCAATGATTTTTTGTTGTTGTTTTTGAAACCAAACATTACGGCAATGAAGACCAAAATACGATATAGAAAACACATGCTGATGAAGATGTTTACTGACAGTAGTAGAAGCAAGCAGAGCATATGTTAATACAAGGGGATTTAATATAATTGAAAAAAGATTTTTGTTTGGTTAATGGTTAGGGGATTTATGGGCTGAAAATCAAGAGTAATTCACTCCTCTATTGCTCTTAGTGACCCATTCTGTAATAATCAGTTGTGGGTTTTAAAAAGTGTTGGTTTTTTAGTATAAAGGGGACATTGCATTGAGAATCCTAAGAATACCATTTCTAAAGAAAAATCAAGTGTGCTATTTGTCTTCTTTGTTAATACTCTATCATAAATTAGATATTTCTCAACCTTCTGCTGGTGAGATTTCTTTCCCAAACAAGTCAGATATGTCCATCCCTCCATCTTGTTTCTTCTCACTTTAGAAAAGGATCATTTGGGCCCTTTGCCACATTAACTACAAGAATGAAGACCATTCTCAGCAACCAGACTGTTGACATTCCAGAGAATGTCGACGTTACTATGAAGGGCCGCACAGTTATTGTGAAAGGCCCGTGGGGAACCTTGTGGAGGGACTTCAATCACATCTATGTAGAGCTCAGTCTCCTCGGAAAGAAAAAGAAGAGGCTTCATGTTGACAAATGGTGGGGGAACAGGAAGGAACTGGCTACTGTTCGTACCATCTGTAGCCACGTACAGAACATGATCAAAAGTGTTACACTGGGCTTTCGTAACAAGATGAGGTCTGTGTATGCTCATTTCCCCATCAACGTTGTGATTCAAGAGAGTGGATCTCTAGTTGAAATTCGAAACTTCTTGGGTGAAAAATACATTCGGAGAGTTTGAATGATCAGGTGTTGCTTGTTCGGTGTCTCAAGCCCAGAAAGATGAGTTAATTCTTGAAGGAAATGACATTGAGCTTGTATCAAATTCAGCTGCTTTGATTCAGCAAGCTACAACAGTTAAAAAAAAGGATATCCGAAAATTTTTGGATGGTATCTGCATCTCCTAAAAAGGAACTGTCCAGCAGGCTGATAAGTGATAGCTAGGAGTTTTTCAGCTACAGAAATGAGGCCGGTCAAATCATATGCATCTGATTTCAAAATGGATCTGATCCTTGTAATAAAGTTCTATTAATTTGAAAAAAAAAGAGAAAAGGGTCATTTGGCCAAACTTGGAGCAACTCTAACCTCCTCCATCAATTACACCACGGGTGAGTGACAATGATGACATCAATAGCGTTCTAACTTTCTTTGTTGTTTTTTGAGTTTAAAAGAAATGTTGAAAATTAGCAAGCATGCATGTATAGTTTTTCTAACGAAACAGTAAAGTGTGTGTGTGTGTGTGTGTGTGTGTGTGTGTGTGTGTGTGTGTAATTTCATGCTTCTGTTCTTTTCCTTCCTTTTTCTGTATTAATTAGCTTTTGGATCAAAACATCTAAACTCTTTTTCATTTGATCCTATGAACATAGTTACCATATAAAACACTCCTTCCCATTTGAGGTTCCTATGCAGATGGCTATGTTTCTTGACCTGCAAATGTAGAAAAATGTTCTAAGTCGACTGGTACAGAACAAATGGAATTTAAAAAAACCCAACATTTATCTTTGGAGATAAATTTTAATCATGATTAAAGATCACAGACTTTAATGTCAACTGTTCTAATAAAAAAAAGTACAAATGAGAAATTAATTTTTATATCAATTTGGCCAAGCTTTCTTATTAGGGCAAGCCTATGTGAAACTATAGTTTTGTAATCTATGTTTCCACAAGAAGTTGTTTATTCATCCATTTTAAAATACCATTTTATACCAATGACTCCCAATCCTATGTCCAGGCGTAACCTCTCCAACTTGAGGTCCAGATAGTCAAATAACAATTTCAAACTCAGCATACTTGCTGTATAGGGAAAAATGGGTTTGGAATTTATTAGCTAGACATATTGTTTCTTCTTTGCCAGGATTTCTTTTTGTGTACTTGTTAAACTGACTAGAACTTCTGGAACAAAATAGAGTAGTATTCTGTCTTCTTTTGTATTTTACTGACAGAGTACTTCAGTATTAGCTATGATTCTAGGAGTTGGCTTGAAATTTGAAATTAATATTATTTTTTCTGATGGTAGGGAAAGAACTTTCCTGATTTATTGAATTATAGTTAAATCCAGTAGAGCCATCATAGCATTGTAACAAAAAAGATTAAATATCATTTTGACTACTTTTAAAATTTCAAGTAATATTAAGTGATAGACTTGTTAATATTAAATTATCTTACATTCCTTGGATAAAGGCAATATAATTATGATGCGTTATTCTCTGGTGGCCTCTTGGGAAGAAATTGTGCTGTTATCTTGAATTTGCACACAGTTAAAATTGACTAGCTGCTCTTTGGGAGAAAGATGGGCATCTTTTCCCATATGATCAACTGCCTCTGAAAATTCACTGGAGGGGCAGCTATGGGTCAGTTCTGATGGAGGGCACATAACAACGGCATTGCTAGAATTATCATGTCTTATTTAGGGTGTTTACATTGACATCTATTAGAAGATGGTCTTATTTTTATGTGCAGTAGTTTTTTCAGACTTGTTAGCAAAGCTATTATCAAAAACCCCCAAAAAGCTCACTATTTTTGAGTTGGTTCTGACCCATAATGAACATCATGTTTCTAGGCTATAAATCTTAATGGAAGGAGATTACCTCTCTCTCTCCTTTTGATTCCTCAAGCCATATTTTGGGGAACATTGCTCTTGTGGATTCAAACTGCCAGAGTGGTGTAAAGTTTGGGTTAGCAGGACAACTCACTACAGATTATACCACCAAAGCTCCAGTAAAGCTATCATCATGTTATAATTATTCAAGAACATGTTTGAGCTTTTTAAAATGCTGTAGAAATTTTTCATTTTCCCCTTCTGAAATGTTTTGTTTATGAAATAATTTAACCTTAGTACTTTTATTAGAAGTAAATTTTGTTTAGTTTTATTAGTTTCTTCCATCATAAACCATGCATGTTTAACTTTTCTTCTGCTTGAGTCAGTTTACTGACTTTGTATTTTTACTAGCAATCTCTTCATGTTATGCTTAACTTTATTATTTAAATCTTTGAAGCTATTTAACAAGATTCCCTCTCTTAGGTGATGTTTCAACTTCTTCATTTTCCTGAAAAAAATTGTGGATTTTTTTTACCTTTGAGTTGATTTTGTGTCAATTTTATTTGCTTATGCAGTTTTTTATCCATTAAATTAGATTTGGATTCAATCTTAAGTTTTAGTTTCTTTTTCAATTTCCTTACATTTATTTTTTTCTTTTAGGCTTAGTGCATTCTCTAACTTTTCAAGCTTCAATTTTTAAATTAATTGCCTACTTTACTATTGTCCTAAGTAGTAATAACTGAAAAAAAATCATACAGCAGAAGTGATTGTATTTATTCTTCAAACACACATTCAAGTCACTACAAAGGAAAATGTTACCTACTGTGTCAAGGTAGCCATATTATAGGAAATATGGTTCCTATTTTTTACTTTTTTTGCAAGATCTTTCTTGCTTAATGAACTATTTGTTGTTGTTGTTATGTGCCGTCGAGTCGCTTGTGACTCATAGCGACAAAAGCCTAGTACAACAGCCCTAAAATCTGCTCTGTCCTGTGCCAGTCTCATTGCCTCTGACACACTCATCCCGATTACCCCAGTCACCAAATCAATCCACCTCATAGAGGGCCTTCCCCTCCTGCGCCCGCCCTCCACCCTCCCAAGCATGATGTCCTTCTCCAAGGACCAGTCTCTCCTTATAACATGACCAAATTATGTCAGATGAAGCCTCAGAATCCTTGCCTCCAAGGGGCAGCTATATATTTGCACCTATTGGGAGCCCTAGTAAGGAGTTGAACTGCCAACCCAAAAGCACTTGGTTCGAATCCAGCAGCTACTCTTGAGGCAGAAAAATGGGCAGTCTCCTCCTGTGTGATTTGTTGCTTCTGAAAATCTGCTGGAGGGTCACCTATGAGCCGGTTCTGACAGGACAGCCCATAGTAACAACAACATTGAAATCTAAGTACAACTGTAGTTTCAAGTTGTGTTTCTTTCCTAAATAGCTTGTAGTTACCTTGTGATCTGTTTTGACTCAAGATTGACTTCAAAGCTGACTGGTGATTTTAATTGAGCTTTTATTTTGCATTTCTAATTTTATTGCTTTAAATTGATATGAAATATAACTCAGAATATGATTGCTAAAATTACTGAGGGTATTAGAAAATTTTATTAAGAGAGCTAACTGCAGAGTCAAATTGTTTTGGTCTAAACCCTAGATTTGCTTCTTGAACTTCAGCTTCCAGATTCATAGAAGACAATGATAGCCCCACACAGTGGCAGTGCATGTTAATGAAATTAGCATACAACCTGCCAATTAAAAAATGCATTGCTATTGAGTCAATTCCAATCCATAGTTTAGCATAGAATGGAACCCTGCCCATTCCTGTAGTGTCTTTACACTATCTACTGAGCTTAAGTACATTGGTGCAGTCAATGCTTCAATCCATTTGGCTAAGAATTTACCTCTGACACTTTTCCAAGCATAATGTGCTTTTTCAACAACTAGTGCCTTCTCATATAACATGCCCAAAGCACGTGAAATGAAGTCTCATCATTCTTGCTTCTAAGGAGCACAGTCACTGCACTTCTTCCAAGGTAGACTTGTCTGTTCGTTTCCCTGTCTGTGGAATATTCAATATTCTTCACCAACAGCACAATTCAAAGTTGTCAGTTCATCTTGAGTCTTCCTCATTAATTTTCTAACTTTCAGATGAATATGAAGCATTTAAAGATACTTTGGCTTGTGGTAGATGTAGCTGAATTTTCAAAGTGATATACTTGCTTTTTATTACTTTAAAGACATATCTCTATTCATTGGCCTTGCCTCAGAACTGACTCATAGGTAACCCTCCACTGGGTTTCTGAGACTAAATCACATGGAAGGAGATTACCCACCTTTCCGCTATGGAGTCACTGGTGGAGTAAAATCTCCAGAAGGACTCAGCCTTTGGCTTAGCAGTGCGACTCTCTACAGACTACACCTCTGGTTGTTGTTGTTAAGTACCATTGAGTCGACTATGACTCAGCAACTCTATGAACAGTGGATTGGGATCCTGCCCTAACCTGTGCCATCATCATCTCTGATACTCTAGCCCACCATTACTGTCACTGTGTCACCTTATTGAGGGTCTTCCCCTCCTTCATTGACTTTCCCCTTTTCCAAGGACAACATGTGCAAAGTATGTCAGACTCCTAGCCTTCAGGGAGCACCCTGGCTCTGTTTTTTCCAAGACACACTTGTTTGTCCTTTTGGCGGTCCATTGGAGGTGCATCACTCTTCTCCAGTACCAAAATTGAAGGCATCAGTTCTGCCATCCTTATTCATTGTTCAACTTCCAGATGCATAGCGAGTGATTGAAAAGGTCATGGCTTGACTCAGGTGTACATTAGTCTTCAAACTGACATCTTTGCTCTTTAGTAATTTGGAGAGGTCCCTGACAGCCAACTTTCCAATTGCAATACATCTTTTGATTTCTGGGCTGTGGATCCAAGCACAATGAAGACATTGACAATTTTTATCTCTTCTTCATCTATCATAATGTTGCCTATCTGCTCAGTGTTAAAGATTTCTGTTTAAAAATATATACTCTCAAAAGGCATGGCCATAGAGTTGGAAACACCACCTTAGCTCCCTTTAAAGATATACCTCATTGCCATGGAGTCAGAAATGACTCCTAGCTGACTCTCTAGTGGGTTTCAGAGTCTACAAATTACCCATCTTTGTGCGTTGTATCTTCTGGCAGATTCGAACCTCCAGAGTG